ATATTCCAAAGCACATGCATATTGGATCAATTGCAAAAAAAAATAATAGATTACCTTAAATCCAGTCTGGTCGAAATAGGTTGAACTGAATTCTTAATCTACAGTGTCCTAGGTTATGACGGAGAGATTGATGGATGGTGGCTATCTTGGAATCATCAGTGACCTATTCTGGGGCTATGACACACCTAGAATGAGAGGCAAATAAGCTCACATTGTAGGGAAGGTGTGCTTTCTAGTTAGAGGATCAGAATGAAATGAATTGAGAATCCCTTCAGAAGAAACTTTCATATAGTTATGAAAGTGAGTTTGAACAAGGATATTCTTACCGTAGTCAAGGTGAGTTGCATTAATAGATGACCAAAGGTGAATGGTGAGTCACTTAATTTGCTAGGAATATGAGCTACCTCAATGATGGACAACCTCTCCCCATATGCCCAGGTGAGTAATGCTTGATGACTATTTGTGCAAGTTTACTTATGAGGCTTGTAAAGTATGAGTTACATCATCATGACTTGTCGAATATATAATAAATATTTGATAAGACATATACAAGTATATAATATAAAATAGTAGTGATAATGAAATTTGATTATAAATCATTAATTTGAAAATGGAAGTAGTTGGTATGTCTGTATAATCATAATTTACCTTCTTTGATAATTTTCTTTCAATTAGTGCTATTGGAGCTATTATAAACAAATGAAGAATAGAAATTCAAGTTCAATTCACTACCAAAAAATAGGGTTTTCGCTGCATAAATTTTTACTTTTCCTGGCGGTTATAACCGCCACGAAATTATTTGCAGCGGTCATTAAACCGCTGCAGAACCGCCGTTTTTGCCTTCCGCTGCAATGGCCTTCCGCAGCGGTTTTAAGACCGGCGGGGTAGCTTTTTGTAATGCGTTTTGTTTGCAGCGGTTTTAACCGGTGCAACTGTGATTAATTTTCTGATGCAAAACGGGTTTTCGCAGCGGTTTGTAAAACCGGTGCAAAAAACCGCTGCGATAGGTCGCGTTTTTTGGTAGTGAATCCGTTTTCCGGTCAAAGTAGATACAACATAATGAAGTTCAATTTTCTATTGAAACTGGGCAATTAAGTTCCGTATTTGCACCTTTTTAAATTTTTTTATTAACTTGCTCCTTAAGCTAATTTAAATTTAAAACGGGCTCCTTTTTATAAAATTATAAAAATATTATTTATTCATTCTTGAGTGTTGCTCAAAATAATAGGGATAAAAAAATTTATTTTCTCTCTTCACGTAAATATGAGATTTTTTTTCTTCTCATTAATCGATATATCATAAACATTTTTTAAGAATCTTGTGTGCAATCATTATTTTCCATATTTTCATACCTAATATAGCAAATTAATGAACAAAATACAAAAAAAAATAATGAAAAATAATAATACATATAAAAAATTAAAAAAATATACAAAAAATAATGAATATTTTTCAACTTGCATATGAAGCAACTTCTTTTCATGGAATTAGCAATTCATGCCCAAGTAAGCAAATCAAATTAAGAACTTTTGGGTAAAGGTAGATGGAACCATTTTCCTTGCCCGGGTGCACTTGAAAAGTAAGAGGTTGAACTCTTTTACTTCTCACATCAGCACCATCTCACACCTTAGTTCCTACTTCCTAGTCATCCACCGCTCCTCATTTCTAGATCATCGTACATCACCATCATCATCACCTCATTTGCATTTCCTCATAGGGATCCCCACAGTATGTTAGGCAGACCATGAATTTTTCATGTATAGGGGGTAACACCTTATGATCCTTTTAAAAGCCTAGGCCTTCTTTGTGACACAAAATATCATATACATGTCATATGGTCATTATTGGTCCTTCTCATATTACCATATGGCTAGTACTAGGATCACACTTAGTTCATTAGTATATTCTTTTTTTTTTTCAAGCACAATATAGTTTTGTTTGGTTGAGTTACTTATTTTCTCAATGGACCATATCCCATTTGAGTTCCTTTACTATCTTAGTAGACCATATCTATTTTGATAATTCTCATACCTTCTTAATGAAATCATATCCATTAGGAGTTCATTGCTTGTGTAAACCGCCATGTGTGGGAAAATCTTATATTTCTTTATACATTTTCTTTTTCAAAAACCAAAATTATATTAAACCCAAAAAAAAACGTACAAGAGTCAAAAAGCCAATAAAGCAAAAGAAAATGAAAATTGAAAACAAACTGCGGGCTCAGTTATTGGCCTAGGCTTCCAGCTTCCCTGAAGCCACGCACGGACCATCCAATTTGGCGAAGAAAGACGCTAAGATTACAATCGATCCACCCGAGCAAGAAAGCATCACCAAAGGTTGCCACCAGCATGACGACGAAGAAATGAGCCCCAGCCACATCATTGCCTAATAAACCCACATCTCCCAAAATCGAACAATACTCCAAAATACCATCAAAAGAAAGCAAAAGGGCAACAAGCACAATAAAAAAGGACTATCTACCTCTTCTGCCCCTCCCACGAAACCTACCACGAGAGGCGACAGAAATAACAGGTCTTTCACAAACCAATTTAAAATCATGACCAGGATCAGAACCTCTACAATACTCCGAAGAAGAATCAGAATCAGATTGAAGTTTAGACGTACAATGCAAACAATCAAGATGAGCCCTCACATCTATCTCGGAATTATCTCCCACATGATAAACCAAAGCTTAGGGCTCGATCAAGTTCACTGGCACAATGACAAAGGAATTAGAACTAACCATCATTCCTTCCCCAGCATTAACACCACCTCCCACCAAATCACTACTACCAATATTCTGAGAAGACTCCAAAGCAACATTAAAAACAGAAGAAGCAACAATATTTACACCCCCAAAATCTCCATTAAGACTCACACAACCAGTCAGCATCAACAGAGGATCCCCTAACCCCTCCACAACAGGGGCAACATAATTAACCATTGGCTCAGAAACACAAACCCGCTGGCCAATGATGGCCGGAGCACACTCATCCAAAATATTAGTCGATTCAATCAAGGGAATATTACCAATAGCAACCCGATTAACCCCAAGCACAACGTTCAAAATGGGATCAACAACAGGAACATTATTCAGAGTATTACCAGCAACATCCACATATGGCAAAATCGTATCAACAATGGACAAAGGTTCCACAGGTGGAACACAAAGAGCAGTATCCGACCCTCGCTCAATAACAGAAGGCGCAACAGAAACATCTTTCTCAATAATACCAACATTATAACCAAAACCCTGTTTCGTAGGAAACACATATGGGACAACATAGTTCACAATAGCAGGCACAACAGGGTTAGGATAAACCTCAACAAGAGGTTCAACAATTTGGGGCAAAACAGCCGAATCCAAGGCATAAACTTTAGGACGGCACTCTCCCACAGCATGTCCGATACAATGACAAGCAACACAAAAATTAGGGAAATCATCCATCACTACTTGCTGGACATAACCAAGCTTCTCTGAACCTAACCATACCCTATCAGGGTATGATTTAGTGATATCCAGCTCAACTAAAACATGAGCTAAAGACGGCCTAGACCCCAAAGAAGTTGCAATATCAATTTTTAATGGCTTGCCAAAGCGAGAGGCCAAGCCATGAAGAATTCATGGGGAAAAGAGATGAGGCCGCATAAGCGGAAAAGAAACCCAAATTGGGATCACCGGCGACTCAACGCCGACATCAATAAGAGGAGACCACTTGGTAAGCTTCATATAACAATTAAAAACCAGATATGATCTATGGCAGAAAATGCAACAATAATCTAGGTCATTCGCAAGTTTTATAAGGACATGAGATGAATCCATCAAGGTGACCGAAACATCTCCAATGAGCTTGAGATTGAAAAAAAATTTACGAATTGAATATAGAGACGGACGTTTAGTAGGAAAGAAACCAACTAAAGAGAATTGAAAAGGAACTGCCAACGCCTTAATTTCTTGATCCGAAATCTAAAGGGAAGGCAAACCACGGTAGGAGGAAACCTTAAGTTCAGGAAACTCGTTACCAGTAGAAGGACCCAAGAGAGCATCTAAAAAAGATCGAGACAAAGGCGAGCCTCCTAAAAAACACCACCAGAGAGCGGCCAAAATAAAAAATGAACTAACAAAAAGGAAAAAGGAGAAGAATCACTTCCCTGGAAACGAGAAGAGAGCCAGCCCCACCAGAGAGCGGCCAAGCAACGTGAGGGAAACGCTAGGGCGAAACCCTAGCAGAGCCGGAGTGAGTTCTCAATTCTCCAAAAGAATACGGCCAATTTGGACCTATATTTCTTTATACATGTTTAAGTGTTTGGATCATTCTAAGTTCTTGGATCTTCATCTTGGCTATAGACCCCTATCTACGTACCTAAATTTGGTTTGAATAGTTGGTGGAGTTACATTTTCACTCAATCATTCAATCTTTCATATTGATTAAGATGCATCTACATTATTAGTCATAAGTCAACAATAAACTAGCTAATGAGTTTACTTTAGACATCAGACTTGACCAATGGTTATGATATGATTTATTGCAATTAAATTTGCTTTTTAGATGTGTGTTTAAGCCACTCTAAGCTTATTTGACTTTTCTTTTTATTGTTAAATAAAATTGAAAATTAGTTTACTCCTTGTTAATTGTCTTAATATTCATGCATTTTGCCAAAAAGTATGCATGATGATCAAATCAGGATTTTTATGATCCTAATGGTTGCTTTCTTATTTTCAAATGCCCTAAATCATCATTCTAAAGTACTTCTAAGCTATAAAAATATTTA